TGCATATAATTCAGAAATAAAATTGAGACATTTTCACAAATAAAAGTGTGACTCTCCTACAATTTTTTATTTTTATTTTTACGTTGCAAAAATTGGTGCGTTGTTTGCTCATGTTACAGTTTATAATTAACTGTTAGGTTTTGGAGATGAGAATCGAATGCAGCCCATTAGAAGTATGTGCTTCCAATAGAAAATAAATTATGAAGAGTCAAAGTGGCGGTACTTATAGTCTACTGGAGCTGGTGCGTACCTAAAACTGTTATCGGACAGGACGGATAGGGGACAGATAGGAATCAATCTTGACGGTTCAGGCCTATGTGCTCTCATTCGAAGATAGTTAAAAAAAACCTTTAAAAGGTTACGATGCGTGCACAAAAGTGAAAATTCATATTTTTTATTAGCACATCGTCTGCAATTTGAAAATTTAGACAAATACGTATGTGCTACTTTGTACAATATGCAATTGAACTATGATCCTCATACACCACTTTTTTATTTGTTCGTTAAAAAGTTACAGAGCGAAAACGAAGTAAGAAAACTCGCAAAAAAATAAAATATATCGTCGTTTAAAGTGCAAAACCGCGTATCGTCATTCTGCAAAACGGCGTAACTGACATTGGCTGCCAAAAATTGGATTTGCTCACACAAGCTCTTGGCTCAATCCTTATCCATTCGCCCTTAAATATACTAGCCAGAAATGGGATTGCCATTTAAAAAAGAGAACCATTTTGAAATATGAGTGTTTTTACGCTCTAGAAAATAATTTCTACCACTTCACCTACGCGGTTTTGCATTTTGCTGATACGTGGTTTTGCAATTTGTTGATACGCGGTTTTGCACTTTAAACGACGGTATATAACCCAAAGGCATTCTTTGTCCATGCCATCAAATCTGTACCGTTATTTCGATTTTAAAAAATGAGGTGTCAAATGAAAGAGCTTGGTCTGTAGATACTAGGACTTACCCATGATCTTTGGCAATTTATGTTTGGAAATTTATTTTATATGAAAAAATGCGGAGCACCCTCAACAAAAAAAATCCAAAAATCACCGGTAAGTTAAAATTTGCATTAAATCTCAAGGGCTACAAAACTGAATACCAACATTTTGTGTAAAGCTGCTGATCAAGAAGTTAGATATTTTGGTCAAACTTTGTAGAATTTTCATAATTTTTGCACAAAGTCTGAAATTTGGATTTATATCATGTTTGTTAAGTAATCAGCTATACTTTCATAAAAAAAATAAACGTTAAATAAACTAAACAGAAAAAGCCAAGACTTACTAAAGTGTCGCGCGCGGTTCACTGTATGTGTATCTTGGTAACCGATTTATCAATTTGTACCAAACTCAATTGCAATTATTACCTTGGCATAAAAAAGCTATACTTCAAAAAAACATCGCGTAAAAAACGTTAATAACATTGCACTACGTTGGATTTTGTACTCTAGCATCTGAAGACAGACATGTGCTCTCAATTTAAAAAAAAAATTATTCACAAAAAAATTCGAAATTTCTGAGAATGGCCCATATAAATAGCATTCCATATAAATACGCTTTTATCACACAGGGATTGTTACAAAAGCTTGGCCAAACACCTAGCAAGGAATGAACGCACTATTAATTTTTCTACAAATTTCAGATATATAGTTCTTATCATAACTTTATGACACTCACCATTTGAAAATATTTTTAATTCGAGTTTTTATAAATATTTTGAGTAAGTTGAAAGTACCTCCGACTTACCGTTGATTTTTGGGAATATTTTTTGTTGAAGGCAGGCCCGGCGGCAGTGGGGGTTTTTTGGGGAAATATGCATACAAATTTGCTTCATTTAGTTTACGATAATAATGGTAAAAAATATATTAATATCTCTGTAAAACTTTCCACCCGTTTGAATGCCAACAGCACTGAAGGTAGTAGAGAAAACGAACCTAAGTCCCCAGTCGATGACGATGGAGTCGATGCCCCACCGCCTGACTATGACGCGGTACGAATAGCGATTACGTGGCCAGCCGAGCTATTCAAGTACGGCGGCGAAGAGCTGATAATGTGCATGAATCAACTCTTATGCAGAATATGGTCAGGTGAGCGCATGCCCGACGACTGAAATTTAAGTGTGCTCTGCCCAATCTACAACTACCACGGGATCACCCTACTGAGCATAGGTTACAAGGTGAAGCCCACCGTCAACAAACAGACTCCACCATGACCAGGTATTCACAATACGCCAAATCTTGAAAAAGACCCACAAAAATAGGATCGATACACGCCATCTATTCGATCTATTCAAAACCGCTTTCGACAGCACGAAAAGAAGTTGTTTTTATGCCGCCATGTCTGAATTTGGTATCCCCGCGAAACTAATACGACTGTGTAAAATGACGTTGAGCAATACCACCAGCTCCGTCAGAAAGAATTGCGAAGGGTCTCTCCGCGCCTCTCCCGAGGTTTCAGACAAGGTGACTCATTTTCGTGTGATTGATTTAATCTGATTTTGTAGAGGATAATAAGAGAATCAGAACTCAATCGCTCTGGCACAATATTTTACAAGAGTGTACAATTGCTGGCGGATGCCGACGACATCGATATTATCGGTAAAAGCAAGGGCTACATCTGTTCTACCTTCTCGGTATTAGATAGAAAGCAAAGCGAATGGGTCTGGTGGTCACACAGTCAGAGCATACGCATCTTAGCGACTTTGTTTATTTAGCATTAACACCAATAATAATGTCAGCCTTGAAATCCAACGGCGAATTACTCTTGCCAACAAGTTCTACTTTGGACTGAGTAGGCATTTCAGAAGTAAATTCCTCTCTCGTCATACAAAAATCACACTCTATAAGTCACTCATCGCACCTGTGCTGGTGTATGCTGGTCATGCCTGTATTGGAGGCATAAACAATGCGCAAGATTTACGGGCCTTTGCACGTTGGCGATGGCGAATATCGCAGACGATTGAACGATGAGCTGTATGAACTTTACAACGATATAGACATAGTGCCGCGAATTAAAATTCAGCGGCTCCGCTGCGTAGGCTATGTCCTTCGAATGGACAGCAACGCTCCAGCTCTGAAAGTATTCAACGCGGGTCGCGATGCTGGTAACATAGGAAGAGAAAGGCCTCCTCTGCGTTGGAAAGACCAGGTGGAGAAGGACTTGGCTTCACCTGGCGTGCTGTTTTGGACTCGGCCAAAATCGCTTAGGCAGTTACAGGGCCAATAAAGATGAAAAGAGACTTTTCTTTGAGTTGTGGTGAATTATATCCATAATTATATATAATATTCTGAATACTCTAAATAAAACAATGATATTCTTGGTTTTTGCGAATGACTTAATCCGGGATCGTGAAAAGTGAAAAAATTAACATCCTTACTATGTACATATCATTGAAATAAACATATAATGCGTACAGTAATACACATTTGACAAATATGAGGGATACAATACAACCAGCGTAGGTACGTATGTACATATGTATGTATGTAGTACAAACAATCTCGTACAAGTATGTAAATTAATTTACAAACAGTATTTTTTTTTCATTGAGTCAAGCTCTTTGAAATAAAACGAGGCAGGAGTATGTAAATGACATTATCTACGTATTGATATCGCTCGCAAAATACCAACACGTCTGAACAGAAGGGTGGAATTGCAGAAATTATAAAAGTTTGCTTGTATTTACATGTATAGAAACAATTTATAACTTCTGCTCTTTAAATAGCTGAATGTTAAAATAAGAGAAATGCTTCAGCAGTTCGGAGTCATAAGCACTTATCAACTAAGCTGCAAATACCAAATCAAAAGAGTTCTTTCCGTCCATCATTTTCCTTACAGTAACTAGTCTTAAAAACCTCACCAAAAATGTGCCTTTTTATGGCATACATATGTGAGGCTCTAATCCAACAACATATACATATGTCTTGCCATTCATGTCACAAGGGCAGCGATCCTGTAAAGCAACTCGTAAAATTAGAAAAATTACCAAAATACTTGAAATGTTTTTTTTAATATACTACATACGTATATTTGTGTTCAACATTAGGTATTTCTTTCACAGTTGTCACAATTTCCAAACATTCTTACAATGTCATTCTTATAACTGTATTCGCGATCGAAACCGAAAAATCACCACCACATCTAGAAAAACTCAAGGGTGAAAGAGTTAAATATCAGATATTAAAAGTTCTTTCATAATTTATGCAATTACCCTCGTCTTGTTCAGATGTGTTGGTATTTTTTCGACGACTTTAATACGTAGATAATGTCATGTACATACTTACATACTCCTATCTCATTTTATTTGAAAAGTGCTTTTGACTCAACGAAAAAACTTACTGTTAATAAATTAATTTTCATATTTGTTGGCCAAAATATTCCGTCACAGTGGCTTTTTTTGTTTAAAAACTCTGTTTTTTATTCACACACACATGCTTAATATGTTTATAAAAAATTTCGCCAAAAATATGTTATTCCGAAAGTTATGTATGCATAGCTATTTATGTGCATATAGCATATCTTATGCACAGATTTTATGGGCTTAATGCATACATAAGCATGCATACAAATTTTGACACGTTCAACAGTATAGGTAAATATCGGACGTGACTGATTAGCCTCATAAGCATCGATAAAGACTCATTTGAATTGAAGAAAAATTACTGAGAAATCACGTGGGATTAAAAGTGCAGCCACAACAAGCTATCCAAACAGCAAAGGAAACGAATTGTACGGCCTTAAGGAAATTGCAACAATACAGAGCAAACTATGGAGCAGCCACCTGTGGAATTTGCTTGATTTGCGATAAATACGCTTGCGCTCGAATAAAGAATCAACAAGTTGTTGTTTTTTTTTTTATTGCCTCCTTTATATTTCCCCCAAGGCATGCTTAAGATATTTGCTTTCCTGCTTACGTTTTATGTGTATATCCTTGAGCGCTTAATGGCAAAGTATTGCGCTTTGTACCTAGGTAGTATTTTGTTTTCTTTTTTTTTTTTAATTTACCTTTAAGTGCCGGGCAAATGCGCTTCCAAATACTCAAACAACCGCAACGATGAAATTGACCCAACGCCAGTTCCATATAGAAGAGCGGCAAGCCTCCAAATATCAGCATCACACAGTAGGGTATGAGGAAAGCACCGCCGCCATTTTGATAGCAAATATAGGGAAAGCGCCAAACATTACCCAAATCGACAGCGAAACCAATGACTGCTAATAAGAACTCCGCTTTCTGACTCCACGTCTCACGGGTGCGCTCTGTGACGGAAACGACGAGCACGCGCTGTGGGTGGAAAAGTTAAAGAAAGTAGAGTTGATAAGACATGAATTTCTTACGATTACATAAGATTGTGGGGTACATATATATAATAAAAAATCTATAAGGGCTCTAATTACATATGTTCGTAGGCACGTACGAGGAGATGCTGAAAAGTTTTGATCCTAAGTACCTCCAAGTGTCATTAATATTATGGCCAACACTCCAAGTTTCAGTCAATCGTATTCAGTTTTCTTGGGGGTTTCCTGTCAGCAATTGAAAGAGAGAGGCCCGCAATGTGGCAGACCCACTTCGGTCTGCGAAGATATTTTAGCTGTAAAGATTGACTAGTAGGGAATCAATTACTAAACACCATATAAAAGATAAAAATTAAGACCCCCTATGAGCTTCGCCGGAACATTCTGGCCTCCTTGTGCTTGAGCTCTAACAATCCTATGTGCAAGCGTGAAGAGGAAATTACTGTATCGAGCTCAAAAATGGCAACTGTTGGCAAAAGTTAAGTTCATCTCGAGTGTGATTAATTTGTTGGCGGGGTTTAGTTATAATACATATTCCTTAAATAGATAAAGTCTTGTTTTATTTGAAGATGCGGCAGTGACATGGTTTACAAAGTGTTACTCGTTCACGGCCAGACCAAAATTTTTTCTTAATTTTGGGGCAAAACCGCGCTAATAGCCATGATTTTTATGTCAACGAGGTAACTAAATATTATTTACTTTTGTCTGCAGTATTATATGTGACCTGGTCTACGAAAAGGGAGCTTACGTGCGAAAACTAGTTTTCTGTGAAAAAGCTGTTCAAAGTAAGCAACTCGTTTCGTTTACTCGTTTTTAGTCTTCTTTCTCTACATTTTTAGTACACTTCTAAGCAAGTTAGGATTTTCTGCTTTTCACCACGTGAAAAAGCATCTCATCTTCCATCCGAATCAACCAAAAAGTGAAAATTGATTTTTTGACACTTAAGCCCCCTTTCCGTAGACCAGGTCACAATTGTAATGTAAAGAGGTTGGTCTAGCGGTGAACGAGGACAAGACAAAGTACCTCCTGGTAACACACAAAAAGTCCTGGTATTTTGCGACACATGTCACTGTTGCCTGCCTAGGATCGAGCATAAACACCACCAACAGTGTCAGTCTGGAGATCAAATGAAGAATAACTCTTGCCAACAGGTGTCACTTTGCCCTCGGTAGGCAATTGATTAGCATAACCTTTCCCGACGAACAAAAGTTACGCTCTACGTTCAACAAATCTCTCATCATGTCCGACCTTTTATATTCATTCAAAAAGGCGTTGGGGGCTTTCTAGAGAGTTATTCTAAGCAAAATCTATCGCCCTGTTCACGTTAGCGACGAGTACCGAAGATGATGGAATGAGGAACTGTACAAGCTATATTACGACATGGATATAGTTAAGCGCATAAAAATACAACGATTGCGCTAGATTCGACATGATGTATGCATGGATGACGAGGATCCTTCGATTCGGAACTCATGGGCCCGGATGACAGGCCATCCACCAACACAAAGAAAGGACCAATTGCAAAAGGGCCTGTCTGTACTTGGGGTTTTCCACCTGGCGCAACTTCGCAAAGGAGAGAAATAATTGCTGCAGTTTTTTTTATCTCGGTCCAAACCGACGAACGGTTGTAGAGCCAAGCAAAAAGAAGGGGAAGGTTATTACACGTACATATCGTCGCTACCATGTCAAACTATCGAATGTGAACTTGGGTAATTTTCCGGAAAGCAACGAAAATGTTGTAACAAATGTTGTTGTCATTAGGAAAAAGTGTGGGATTCGACACTTTGTTAAAGCCTTTATCCTATGCTTCTAAGAAGACTATAAATTTGACGATTTGCCAATTTGCGTATCACTCTAAATGCATGCGCAAGGTATCGTATGCAGTGTTGCCACCAAATTTTATTTTTTATTTTTTACCAAAATCAAAAGAAGAAGTTACCAAATTCAACAAAAAATACCAAACTTAATTTATATGCAGAAGTGTACTTATGAAGACGACAAACTTTTCAGGAAATCAGCGCTCCACTCAGCTATAATTTTTATAACTGCGTGAACGCTGAAAGCTACGACACTAGAAACGCTTGGTGAGGATTTCACACCTGAGTGTGGCCGAAGAAACAAATTTGTCGATTGCGCGTCGTTTTAAGAACATGGTACTGTCTTATGGCTCAGAATAGTATATTTTGCATTTGCAACTGAGGATTATCAGGCGCATAATTTCCCGTAGAAACGATATCATTTGGCCACTGAGATCATCCCACTTGGCACCATTGGACCTTTTATGATTCTACTCGGACGGCCGTATGTATACGAATAAACCCCAAACTTTGGAGCCCTTTAAAATCAACGTTTGCCCAGTTATGGCAAACATACATGTACATATGTACATACATATGTCAAAAAGTAGCCGAAAATATCTCAAAAATTCAACGCTTAAGGGCAAGCTTTAAACTCACACACAGACAAAGTGAAGTGTTGGTGTTGGTTGATTTTTCCGACAGGGTGGTAAGATGATTTATTTTGGAACGAATTTCCGTCATCACTTGTCAAGTTTGGTTTGCAGACAAACCGGTTTCGGCGTTTCATTTTTTCGTTCGAAAGTGAAGTGCCTATAGGGTATACTGAATGCCGTAGCTTTTTGAACGAGAACATATATATTCACATAGAACTCTACTCATATGGTTGCCGGGATACACTGGAATGTTGATGGCAATTGCAAAGCTGATGCACTGACACGGAAAGGTACGACCACCCACTACCTTCCCGGATAGGACTCGGTAGATATAGCAATAGCCACTTTCAAGTAGTTTGTTAGAGATCACACCATTCTAGAACCAAGGATCGCTGGAACAAATTTTCGTCTGACGAATGATTACCTGGTATTTCTATAAAAGTAATCGCTTACGGGCCACTTTCTAATGTGGAATCAGATCCTGTATTGACCTACGTGACATGTAGGACCGAATCGAAAAAGTTACCAAATTGAAAAATAAATTACCAAATCACCAAGAAAAAAATTACAAATTTTGGTTAAATATTACCAAAGCGGCAACGCTGATCGTAATTGAAAAAGCATTTTCGCACATTCGATAGTTTGACATGGTAGCGACGATACTTTCTTAAACAAAAAAAGTGGACTAAAAGCTAAGAGATTAGGAACAATTAAGTGCTAACTTGAACTGTGGCTAAGTTTGGAATAGAAGAGCTTTGAAGTTACCTTTTTTAATAGAGACAATCTCTGATAGATGCAAAGCTACTACACATTAAATATGCACATAAAAATTACAGTTTCGTATGTCGCTGCTTACCTCATTATTGGCCAGTTTTGGCGCCAATGGATCGGTAACCTTTGCTGGTGTGGCAGTATCAGCGTCATCCTCCGGCGAATCATCCTCATTCGGCTGTGACGCAGACTCCTTATTATTCGCCCAGGGTGCTGACATTGCGCCTGCATTGGCGGCCGACGCCGCTGAGTTCTTACCAAATTCTAAACTATTATTTTTGCTGCGATCCATAGTCGATCGTACATATGCAGTTGCAGTAAGTTTATGATCTCATGTGTATTGGATTTATTGTATTTAGTAATGCGGAAATAGCGGTTGAAGGTGATGATGCAGTTGCGAATGCGAATTCGTCTTCTGATAATGTTGGTGGCAGTATACGAAAGCATTAAATGGGAGCTGTAGATAGCTGTGGGAAGTGCGTGATGGGTGTATATAAGAGATGCGCATTCATATGTTTTGAAAGTTACTTCAGCTGCAGAAACAACAAAAAAACTAAATTTTTTTTACTTATCCTCAGAACATACATACATATTTTTTTTACTCCATTGGTATTTTACATCATTAAAAACGTATTAATATAACTGTAAAAAAGTGGGAAAAACATACATAAATGTAATTATCTGCAATATTGATATGCCACATGCAACAACCGTTAATACTGTAAATGTACATAATTTCAGATTATATTTTTAAAATTACAAGAAGAAAAAAAACGGACGGCTACAACAAAGGACCGCCGGCAATTGTGTCCAACCCATTTGTTGTAAGTACGAATATACATATTGCATATTGCAATTACATACATATATCCCAAAGGTGACTTTCAGTTTTGCATTATGGATAGTCCATTTGACTCTAGCCTTAATACGTAGGTATGTACATATACATATGTACATAAATGAGTATGGCCAGTTGTGAAAGTTTCATATGTTTATATATGTGCATTAGGGTGGTTCAATGAAAGGAATTTTGATGCTCTCACCCCCTAGGATGGTTTTATATCGAAAAAATATGCCCCTAATTTATTTTTTTAAACCAAATAATATTTAGAGGTCGCTTAAAGCTCAAAAAGTTTCCCATGTATTTTATATAACAAAAAAAATATTTTTCGATTTTTCGTAGGAATGGTTAAGAATCCTTGAAAATTAATATTTTACAATCGGCAAACTGTTTTTTTAGGGAGATTCAAGTATTAATACCCAATTGTTTATTTAACAATTTTTTAATATTAGCTTCTTTAGGACGTCCCAAAACGCAGAAATCGTTAGTATTAAACAATTTTAAATAAACCATTGGGTACTATTTTTTGAACGCTTCTGAAGAGAAACAGAATTAACCGATTGAAAATTATGCATTTGCAAGGATTCCATACCATTTCCACGAAAAAAATATTTTTTTGCCATAGAAAATACATGTGAAACTTTGAGCGCGTTGAGTGACCTGTAAATATTTTTTGATTTCAAAAAAACACGGTTGTTTTTTTTTCGATACTAAACAATCCTAGGGACTTACGTGCGTTCTTGGACCACCTTACTGTACACACTCACATACATACAGCTATATATATATGTTCATATATATGGACATATATTTATTGGACTCATATGCAAATGCAGGCCAATGTCAATGTTATTGCATTGTTTATAATTTTTAACCTTCATTTTGACGCTTGGAATACTTTTGCCTTGTAATCGTTTGCCACTGTATCATCGTCGTTAATTCCTGGTCATCCTTATGTATGTATGTACTAGGGATGTTTCGAATGTCATATTTTTCACATTCTCATTTTGGCACATTTTAATACGTGGTAGTTCAAATGTAAAATTACGTTTGGTCGAAGGCCTTCATAAGGACTTCATAATTCTCGTTATCGCGACAAAAAGACACGGCATTAAGCGGAACCTGCAAGAATGTGAATATGTAAAATTGGTCGCAGGGAATTAAAACCTGATTTTCGGAACGCAGAGGGCTGTGAAATAATTGGCATTTTTAAAACAATGGTGGTCAAAATTTTTTAAAACTTAGAGAAACGACCATTTTTGGGCGTAAATCAAATTACGCCTAATCGTTATCTTCATACATGCTAATAAAATTCCGATAAGATCCTCTCTATATCATCATTATAGACTGGGAACTGTGGGACTCGGTAACTTATAGCCCATTTTCACTAATGGATGAAATTAGTTAAGGGCTCTGTTAAATTCAAAGAACGCTAGCATGGGGTGATCAGCAAGGTTTATTTCTTACTTTTTGCTTTCTTGCTTTCGTTTGCTTTTATTTAATATGAGCAATTATCCCCTTCGAGGTGTTATCTCCTTTTTCCAATAGGCATTAACTGTAATTCAGGCTTGGTGGAAATGAACTCTTATTCTGGAATCAGTTGCACTAAGCTCCTCAGCGCCGGAGTATCTTCATTTTTTCGCTATTTGACACTCGTCCGGAGAATTTTCGGCTGTAACTGTAATTTGTTCAAATTCGGGAGCCGAAGGGGCAGAAGTTGTCGGTTTAAACTAGTTCATTATTTTAACAGAATGAATTCGAACCGTAGCACTTGTTGTGTTGGTGATTGACGGACATTGAAAATACACTTTTTGTCCCAAATTGGTAAATTAATTGTGTCTCAAAATATGGGCCAGTAACGCCGGGTTCAAGTTGAAACTCTAAATAATATTGAAAATGCAAAATATTGAAAGATGCAATTTGAGTCCAATTATTTTTATCATTACGAAAGCTTCGAAAACCTTAAAATTCAAAACAAAGATATGGATATAGTACATATGTAGTACTTTATGGGATTATGTTAGTTCCAAGGCGAATTCATATAAGGTGGTGTAACCAGAGCGTCTAGATGGAGAGCTCATGACTAAAAAACCCATCATACTTCAGATCGATTGAAAATTTTTGTGAGCTTAGCTTTGTTAATATATAAATCGAGATCCGAGGGCCGGCTGCTGAACAGCGGTCTTGATTACGCGTTTTTATCTATTAAAGATGTCAATAAAAACCGATTACTCAACATACTTCAGATGGCTTGAAATTTGGATACAATTTTATTTGCAGTATAACGAAAATGAATTCAAGATTGCCTGCTAATTCGAATTAAGAATTCTTAATCGTCTTAAAGTACTCACAGCCCATGTTGAAATAGCATTGTTGCAAGTATAAGTCAACATACTTCAGATGGGCTGTCCTTTTGACAGCACATTATAACTAAATAGATGAAATATCTACAGCCAGCCTATTCTGGTGGTCAAATCATATGAAAAATGTCAAAAACGTCATTTCCGTGAGTGCGGACGTGCGAGAGACAACTTATCAAGGTTGCCAACTTGGCTCAAACCGTGCCATTTTTGGCCCTATTTTACATCAAATGGCATTAAAATTTTCAATTTGGCACAAAGTGCCAAAATGGCACTTTTCAAAAATGGTAATATTTCAATACATTTTTGTGAAATTCTTTGCGTCTACTTCTCTTTCTCAACTAAAATTTTCTAATTTTTAAAGAATATTCAACTGGTTTTTCTTATTTTCGCATTGCACTTTTGTTTTAGAAATGTGGTTCTTATTTTATTGCTATATGAGAAGAATTAAAAAGGCTGATGCCTTTTTTGGTACTTTTATTTTCCTATTTGGCACATTATGGCACTTTTTTATCCTCAACATGGCACCTCATAGCTAAGGATAGTTGACAGCCCTGGATCTTATATCGTTAATATGCCATGGCGTATGAGTTATCTATCAACAGCAATATTTAGTCCGGTTGAAAGCAAAATTTCAAGTCAATGTAATGTTTTCTAATTATTAATTTATTTTTACGCTTCCAACCTTGTATTCATCCATCTTGATTTGTTCTTTATTTGCAGACTTTTGCAAATAGTTGAAAATTCATGCACACTTGTCTTGGTTTGCGCAACTAACTAAATGAAAGAAAATTCTTAAAATTTTCCGCAGGCATTTGGGGGGGGGGGGGGTTGAACCCCCAAAACTCCTATCTGCGTTCGCCCCTAGTTAGAGCTTGTCAAAATGTGGTGCGGCTATAATTTGTTCCACCTCTGTATATATGTATGTATGTACATACAAATGTACGCATATTTCAATCAAAAAAAAAAACGTCTCTTAATTGAAGAAAAACAGCAATCAAAATGAAGAAAAATGGGAACGAAATAGCACTAAAGAAGTTTTATCCTCTTTTCATGCCCAACATTTCTTCAAAATGAAAGTTTACATCCACGATTCCATATTTTCGTGTACGTTTTTCCACATTCTTAAGAAAAATTACTCATTCGGGAGAATTTTTTACTCATTCGGAAGAATTTTCGACCTTAAAGTAAGGAAAGTTTTTCTTTGATCCAGAGATGGATTTTTGGTTCAGTGTTGAAACTGATTATTTTGTGTTAAATAGGTTTATGTGCCTAGCATGGCATTTCAAAAAAAAATTAAGAAGATATTTGATCCAAATCGTGAAAATAAAATTAGAAACACATAATCATAATTTTCTGCTAACTAGTTTATGCCCATTGCAGTGAACCAAAAATCCATCTCTGGATCAAAGAAAAACTTTCCTTACTTGAAGGTCGAAAATTCTTCCGAATGAATAAAAACTTCTCCCGAATGAGTAATTTTTCTTTGGAATGTGTAAAAACGTACACGAAAATATGGAACCGTGGATGTAATCAATCATTTTGAAGAAATGATGGGCATGAAAAGAGGATAAAACTTCTTTAGTGCTATTTCGTTCCCATTTTTCTGCATTTTGATTGCTGTGTTTCTTCAATTAAAAGAAGTTTTTTTTTTGAGTGTGAGTAGGTGAATTAATATTTTTAAGGTTTCGGGTTGTTAGTGTTTACAATTATTATTATGACTTACGGTGTAAACCGGTAATAAATGTCAGTTAAAATATCGCACCTGTCACTGTGGAATGAGCCATGTGTACTATGGATATTTATGTAAGTATGTAAAGCTGTACAATATAAATAATTAAAATGTATTCGCTGTAAAAATTAATGTCTTAATGATTGCCATAAACATTTTGATACTCGCGACAATAATACTTACATACATTTGTATATATATATGTATATGTATGTATGTGAACACAAGGTGGGATGGGTGGATAACTTTGTTAACGAGAAAACAATTTCATTTATTTTCAAGTGTTGATATGCATACGGTGCAGTGCTACCCGTATTTATAATTTTAGCAATAGAAAAAAGGAAAGCATTTTAAATTGCAGCCAGGGGTTAAAGAAAAGAAATATTGTTAATGAAAACAAGCCAAAAAGAGTTTCGATATCAAAAGTAGAGAAGTCGTATATGTACATACATATATGTATGTACATATGTAGAACACTCGACGTGGCCTTACTTTTGAGTAATACGTTTGTATTTGAACGCGAACGGGTGTTACTTCAAAAATTAGTAGAACCCTAGATGTAACGATTTTCATGTTTACTCCAATTCGCTGCAAAATCCGAACGAAAATGAACTTCTCTTTGACGTCCTTAGAAATCATATGGCATTCTGATTTTATGAAATTCAAAAATAATTACAAAATGGGAAGAGAGTTACTAAGGCTACATCTTACATAA